AACATCTTTTGAAATCTTTTTTTCAAGAACCACTGGACCAGAAAAGTGGAAACTTATTTTGGAAACATAGTGTTGATTCTAAATTGTTCAAATCATGACCCCTGGGGGTAGGGTGGGGCCACAATAGGTATTACAAGGGGGGAAATCTGGTAAAGAACAGCATGGCCAAAGTTACTCAGGTGAGCAATGTGGCCCATGGGCCTCTTGTTTAATAAAAGAATCAATTTTGCCGAGAAAATTTTCCTCAGAAAAGTTTTGTTTATCACAATTACATAAATTTCAATAATGAGAACTTTACTCTAAATATTAAATTCACAAACTGAACATGATTTTTATATTTCTGAAGCTATAGGCTTTCTGCACGCTATGTTCGCCCATCTCCTTTGCAGCAGAATTATTTTTATTTGAACAACTTGAACAATATTAAAAGTAGAAGATATTATCAAGACAAAAAATATTGGACTATCATATTGACGTCAAATAAAAAAAACAAGAGGACCATGCAAAAAACTGGACAAAAATGAAGGAGAAAATTCTGAAGATTTCTTTATATTAAGACAATTAGAAATATATTAATACTCAAAAAAATGTATCGAAACAATTTAATTTGACAATATATTGATATCAAATCTTTCAATGACAGCTCTAGTGCTGATGCTCATAGGCCTAAACTCACCAGCTCATAACTTTTAAATGAAACTTTTCATCTTTAAGGTAACCTTCAACATGAATGAAGGAAAAGCTACTGAAAATGAAAGTAAACATAATGTTACTGATATTCCATTAGAAGAAAAGGAAGACAATGCAGATGCAAAAGAAAATAAGTCAGTTACAAATGGAGAAAAATTAACTGGAATGGAAGAGTCAACCATTGAAGAACCACTATCCAGTAATGACACAGCGTCTTCTCTAGAGACTGGTAATGATGAGAATGGAGATTTGTTGACTTCTCATCGACAACCAGGAGATGGTGAACATGAAGAAAAGGAGACACCACAGAAATCAGGAACAGCTGATATAAAAGAAGATGTGACTGTCACTGAGGAGGAGGATGGTACAGTGTTTACTTCTTCTCATATTTTCTTTTGGGGAATTTTTGAGAAGTGATCTTATGCTGGATTTCTTTTCACATTTGATAAATTAATTCTCTAGGAAGAAGTTGTAAATCTGACATTTTTAACCATTGTTGTTTTGATTTCAAAGAAGTCCCTTTAATTTTCAAGTATGTAAATAAATGAATACAATGAAAAATATAAATAATTTCTATTTAATTATTCATTTTAGCTTTGAGAGATATATTCGATTGTCACAATTTCATGTCCCGTAATTGGAGATTTAGGAACATATAGTTTTTATGCCCCCGTAATTGAAGATTTGGGGGCATATAGTTTTTGCTCTGTCCATTAGTCTGCCTGTCCATCTGTCTGTATGTTTGATTGTCTGCAATCAGTGTTTCACAAACACGTCTTGTTGGTCTGTCTGTAACGGTAATCTGGTTGACTGTTTCTTCGAAATAAAACTTTAACCTTGTCCATAACTTTTGAACAGTTGGTATTTTGGCTTTCATATTTCACATGGGCATTCCTTTTGACAATTAAGACCTTTCTTTGGGTACCATTATTTTTTACCTCTTGGCCTTGACCTAAGAGTTTAACCTGTTTTTGGAAAACCCTAATCAACTTTAACCTTGGCCATAACTTCTGAATAGTTGATGCTAGGGATTTCATATATCACTGACTAGTGAATTTCTTGTGACAAGACCTTTCTTTGGGTACCTATTATTTTTTATCTCATGCAGGGCTCTAATTGCAACTAATTTATTCACCATGGCACCTTAAATTTTTGATTGGCACCTAAAATTTCTCTGTAAGTCGCCAAATTGGCGATCATTTATATTGCCTTGGAGATCCTCAAATTCCAGAATATAAACATTTTTAACATTTTTTTTCTAAAGAGGTGAAAAGAAGTTTAAAAGTTAGAAATGAATGTGTCCTGTGTTTTCTTTGTCACCTTGTTTATCAGGTTTTAAAGTTGGCACCTAAGAAAAATTTGCATTGGCAACTAAATCTTTTTGATTAGGTGCCAGCTGGTGCCTAAATTTTAGAAGTTACTTAGAGGCCTGTCATGACCTTGGAGTTTGGCCTACTTTTGAATAACTTAAATCTTGGTCATAACTTCTGAATTGTTGGTGCTAGAACTTTCATATTTCACATGTGGATGCCTTATGACAAGAACTTTCTTTGGGTATCATTATTTTTTACCTTTGACCTTAACTTTGGAGTTTGACCTACAGGTACTTTTAAAAAACTTTAACCTTGCCCATAACTTCTGAACATTTGGTGCTAGAGTTTTCATCTTTGAAATGTGTATGCTTTGTGACAAGACATTTCTTTAGGTACCATTATTTTTTACCTCATGACCTTGACTTTGAAATTTGACCCACTTTTTAAAAAAAATCACCTTTGCCATGAGCTGCCATATAGGGGCATCAGTGTTTCACAAACACATCTTGTTTCTATCTATAAGATGTTTTTCTTTGCCTGAACTATAATATTAATTTGAAAATTTAAATGAAAAATGCATACTTTAACTTAATTTTACTTTATTTGTACCTTTACTGATGCCACAGCAGGTGACACTTGTATTCCTTGGAACACTCTAGTTCTATGAAGGAGTTAAAAATATGACACTTTCAACATTTTTGTTAAATACAGGATTTCAAAGAAGTCTCTTTACCATTAATTTTCAAACATGCTTGATGTATATTTCAGAAATTTTAAATCATCTATTATGTGAAAGTTCCAGACTTAAAATATTTTTTTTATGATCAGATGAAGGAATTGATGTATCAGATGGCAGTGATCTGGATGGAGAGGGGAGGATCAAACTCTTTAAAAGAGGTCTAGATATGGAGAAGAAGGAGAAACTAAAATCTGCACTCAAGTGTTACATGGCTTGTCTCAGAGGACTAAAACCACACTCTAACTTCCCCCTACTGCCACAGTGCCTTAGAAATGTAAGTACAATTTATATTCTAGAAAAAAAATTATATCTTTGACTTTGTTTATAATGTTTAAGACGCTAAATTGGCATGTTTTTTGGAATTGTAGTGCCACTATTTTTCTTGGGATTTCAGTTTTATATTTACTTGTTTACAGTAGTACTTTGTTTATTTTTTGTTGATAGATTGCAGACATCTTTTACAGACAAGAAGAGTGTATCCTTTTAGCAGATTTAATGTACAAGAGCAATTTTGAATGAGGTTAATGTTGCATTTTTATCTTACAAAGTTGAAACAGTAGTGTTTTTTTTCTTCTCCATCAAGTCAGTTTACCTTTTAGATGCATCAGAAGAGCATTTGACATTGAAAGGTTCAATCAATCTCCAGAAGATACCAGAATCTGTTTCTAAAATGTGACTTTCTGTTACTCCCGCCAGGGCTCTTATGGCTTTTTATTATAAATGGTTTCCAGAGATTTCTTTTGGAATGATCATATCATCCTTAACACTGTAATCAGATGAGAAAGCTATACACTTTATTCAAGCTGAAAAGATTTACTATGAATCTGCTCTGATAGACACCACAGATATACAGAAGAAGCTAGGTAAGCTGAGTAAGCTAGTCAGCAATCAGTATAAAGGGCAAATTTCCTGTCATAAAATGGAGTGAGACTGAATTATTGCAATTGCGAGGGACTTTAACATACATGGGTAATGTTACCTGCTTAATTTTACTGAATGTATGATACAATAAAGCAATTGGTACATTTATTTAAGCATTGAATCATCATTTTTTGAAAGATGTAGTTTCATAACTGCAACAGTTTGTGCAAACAAATTGAGTAATGCAAGATAGCGTGTTATGAAAATTTGTTTGCACACACCATTGCAGTTTTGAGACTACATCTTTCAAAAAATAATGATTCAGTGCTTATATTTACATTTTTAACTCCTTGCCTTGACTACAAATAAGACTTATATTTCCAAATCCCTGTATTATCCTTCGGGTAAGTTACAATTAATGGTTGAGCCATTGCAACAGCTTCTGTCCAATGTGAGTGTGAATTTTGTTTTTCGCTTATGATGTCAAAGTAAAATGCATACTTTAACCTTTTGACCCCCTGTCCATGTTATGGTGTTTTGAATGCCGTCACTTTCCACACACTTGATAAGCAAAATAAATGTGGAATGTAAATATTTTATATTAATATCTAAATGGAAGAGGAAAAACATGTGTAATCAGTATAAGCATGAAAAAAATTTAAGCTTGTGGTCATAATGAAATATATTTAAATATTTCATAACTTGAAACAGAAGATGCACAGAGAGACCAGGAACTTCCTGCTGATGTTTCGGAGGAGACAATTCGAGCTGATGAATTCGAGGAGCTGGCCAGGATATGTCTTGATGAAAAGCAGTAAGGCTTTGATGCTAGATATAAATTTAGTTTCTAAATCTTAATTCCTTTGATGTCAATAACTCTATATTAGAGGGTTGTTTCAAAAGATTTGGTGCATTTAATACTAGTTTATATATAAGATATACATACTGTATGGAAATCCTAAAATCAGACTAAAATATTATTTACTCTTTTTAAAAATACAAGAGAAAATTGGCTTTAGCACAAATAGTTATGTCTCCCCTTCCAGGGGAGACATATTGTTTTTGTCGATTTTCTTCTTCTTCTTCTTCTTCTTCTTCTTCATCCAAATTTTGTCCAGGCCGTAACTTTAATACCCTTTGACATTAAGACTTCAAACTTGGAACATAGATAGATGACATTGAGAAGGAGTGCACGCCACCAACATTTTTGACCTTGACCTATTTATAAGGTCAAGGTCAATCTTTTACATCAAAATAGAGTTTAGCCCATAACTTGAGATCCCTTTGATATTAGGACTTCAAACTTGTAACATAGGAAGAAGACCTTGAGACAAAATGCACTGCATTAGAATTTTGACCTTGACCCCTTTCTGTTTTCAAGGTCAAATAGGGAAAAACACAATCTGACAATAACTTGAGAACCTTTTGACATTAAGACTTCAAACTTGGAACATGCAGAGGTGGTATAAAGGAGGAATGCATGCCACCAAAATTTTTGACCTTGATTCAATTATGATAAGGTCAAGGTCAATCTTTAACATCAAAATAGAGTCTAAGCCATAGCTTGAGTACCCTTTGATATTAGGACTTCAAACTTGTAAAATAGAAAGAAGACATTGATACAAGATGCAACACACCAAAATTTTTGACCTTGACCTCTTTTCTTCCTCAAGGTCAAATAGGGAAAAAACTTGATTAGACCATTACTTAAGAATCCTTTGTTATAAAGACTTCAGACATGGAACATGCAGAAGTGGTATGAAGGAAGGATGCATGCCACCAAAATTTTTGACCTTGATCCAATTATTATAATGTCAAGGTCAATCTTTTACATCAAAATAGAGTCCAGGCCTTAGCTTGAGTACCCTTTGATATTAGGACTTCAAACTTGTAAAATAGAAAGAAGACATTGTTACAAGATGCAACGCTTCAAAATTTTGACCTTGACCACTTTCTTCAAGGTCAAATAGAGAAAACATGACTAGACCATAACTTGAGAACCCTGACATTAAGACTTCAAACTTGGAACATGGAGAGGTGGTATAGAGGAAGGGTGACTGGCAACATTTTTTCACCTTGACCTATTAATAAAGTCAAGGTCAATCATTTACATGAAAATATAGTCTAGGTCATAACTTGAGAACTTTTTGATATTAGGATTTCAAACTTGGAACAAGGAAAGACAACATTGAGACTAAATGTACTGCATCAAAATATTTGACCTTGACCACTTTCTTCAAGGTCAAATTAAGAAAAACACAACCAGACCATTACTTGAGATGCATTTGACATGAAGACTTGAAATTTTGTACACAGAATTTGAGTTGAGATGCACTGCATTATTATTTTTGACCCTGATCATATATTTGCACTTGTTAATGTTGGTAAAGAAGGGGAGACATGTGTTTTTTTGTTAAAAAAACAATACCCACTAGTTTATAAAAGGTTTTGGAAGTGAACTTTGTGGATTGTTAAATAAATTTTGATAAAAGACTTGAAAATAAGACACATAAGTTTTAGGATGGATGCTAAGACTATGAAAAGACAATAATGTAGATGCATGTGAAGGAATCCACTGATGTTTACAATATGGTAAAAACAAAAGTAGTTTATAAAGTATTGTAATCATGGATGTCCAAAATATTATTGTAGTGTGGTTTTAGTCATGATTTAGCTTTTTACCTGTATTTTAAATTTTCAATAAGTCATACATTAAAAATATTTTTTTAGGCAACATGCAAAATAGAATTTTTTTTAATGAATATTTGTTGATAATCTTCCATGGAAGAAAAATTTATAGATCCATTGAAATTTTATTTGAATCAACCCTCGTCTGTAAGTTCTTGATATCTTTTAAATGATGAAATTAGATATTCAAGATATTTTGAATATGCACTTAGTTAATGGTTCTGATATATTTTGATGCCAATTTATAAACTTTTATAATGATTTTTCTTCTGTCCAATGATGTGTATTATTTTTATTGATATATGTAAAAATGCATTACAGACCACAGTTGGCATTGGAATATGCAGGAAAGGTAAGAAATGGACATATGTGTATTTCACTTTTACTTACAGTACATACATTTTCAAAACAATGGTACGAAATAACTAAGGCAACTATAGTAGTGCTTTCTTAAAATTATTACCTGTTATACATTTTTTATACCCAGTTGGGGTACATGCATTAGTTTTCCCTTTTCTGTCTGTCAGTTTGTTCATTAGCTGGTCAGCTCATTTATTTATACCTCACCCAAGAATCAACAAACTTCACATATAAATTGTGCTTGTCTGTGACATGACCTTGATTCAATGTTGAAAAACAAAGGTCAAGGTCGTTTTAGCAGTTGAGGTGAAAATTTCGGGTTCTTATCTTCTGAGCCACATCAGAGAGAGTCAATACCCCCATTAACAGTTGCAGGACAAGAATTTTCATCTGGTCCAAATCTTTGAGCCAGAAAAGAAAATGACTAGATACCTTACATAGAGGTTTTTTATTTTTTTTTTTCACTTGGATAGCCTAGTCAAAGAACTGTGGGCTTTAGTCAAGCAATAGTCGTCTCAATCATTAAAATAATTTTTCCAATGTCAGTTTTACTTTGTGTTCTTTTCAGTCTGCTTGTAAACTCGATATTGAAATCAAGCTATTGTCATATACAACATATTTACTTAGTATTTAAAGTACTTAGTACTTACTAAGTAGAAATACATGTACTACATGTATCTCAACTAAAATTAATTTTTACCACATATTTTATCCATACTTGTAATTAGACTTTAATTATCAAATACTATGGCTTTTCATTTCTGCCCCAGTCACTAATACATGTAATTAACTTATCACTTGATGCCTGCTGTTTCACTTTTCTGCGATACAACACTGCTTTTCAAAACATTTTTTTGATTATTTTTTTTTCTCTTTTCTGCAACTTATTTTAACATGAACCTCTTTTGTTAGCCAGGTAAATATCTTACCACAACAACTCTTTTGCATCAGTTGTAACTGTAGCTTTGCATACTTTTTCTATGCTGCATTGTTAAGAAACATCCCCATTATTTAAAACATTGACTTTTCTATACATTTATCCACATTACATGTATATAAGTGTGGCCCATAGGACTCTCATTTTCTGTGAACAATTTGTATTTACCTAATCTTCTTAGTTTTTAGTTTCCAGTAGATTACTATGGTAGGCTTGACAGGGGTAGTTCTTCATTCATTTAATGGCATGCTGTGTAGATCCATTTGAAATCAATTTAGATTTGAAATCATTTGCATGGAAAACTAAATGTGGCTTTGACTGTTTTGGTTTTGAAATATGCTTAAACTATTAAACAGGCCACAAAGATCAGACAGAGTGTTCTGGGAGATAATCACCCTATTACTATAAATAGCCTGGACTTCTTCACACAAGTGTATGCTGAAGCAGGAGCTGACCAGTATCAAGGTAGGACAGCCAGACATACAGACAATGTCACTGTCACTTTGGATATTGTGCTGAAATTTGTAAAGATGAATGGCAGACAGACACACTTACTGGAAATTAACTTATCATTTCAAAGTATGAAACTAATATTTACACAGACATACAAACAGAATGACTAAATATTTACCACTATCATATCAAAGGTTGTCATGGGTAGACAGAGAGGAAAATAAACATATATTTGCCTTTATAATTTCACCCACATCTGTACCATAAACACACAAAGAAATGCTTTTTAATTGAAGCTTTTGTTTTAATTTCTATTTCATCAGATAGCATGAAAAGATTTGAAAATCAAGAAGATATAGACCTTAATGACTCCAGTGCCCACACAGAGATTCCTGGGACTCCAGAGAAAGAACCCCAGTCCATCCTTAGGAGGAGAAAACCTGGTATATATACATTGTAATCCTGTATTGTTTGCATTGACAGTGGGAGGATATAATTTTAAGATTTGGTTTTTATACCCCCAGCAAACTAAGTTTTGGAGGGTATGTAGGAATCACCTTGTCCATCAGTCTGCAAACTTGTCTGGGCAATAACTTTGTAATGAAGCATTTGGAAGCTCATACTTGGTACAAATATCGTTTATGACCTGAGGGTATGTCATGACCTTGACCAAATGTCATTACTGCATGTTCAAGCTATTACTTTATAATGGGGAATCAGTGAAAGCTCATACTTGGTACTTTTTATAATCTGAGGGATTGTCTTGTCTTTCACCAAATGTCATTCTGGAAAGTTCAAGGTCACTGGCATAAAAAGTTTAATTTCTTGTCCTTTCTACAACTCCTTTATGGAAAAACATTGGAACTTCATACAAATATGCTTATGGCCAGGTGTTTCCTGACCTTGAACCAGTTGTTTGATCAAGTTCAAGGTCACTTTATAGAAAAATATTTAATTCCTATCCTGACTATGTCTAGTAATGAAGAATATTTGAGGTTCATATTAATCACAACAAATATTGCGTATGATGTGAGGGTTTATATTGACCATGATCCAGGATCATTCCAGCAAGTTCAAGGTCACTACCAAAGTGTTTTATTCGTGTCCTGTCTATAACTCTCATATGGAGGTTAATTGGAAATCGATACGTGATTCAAAGATTGCTAATTACTAAAGGGTATGTCAAGATTATTTTCGCAAGTTCAAGGTCATGGCAGAAAAAGTGTTAAATTTGTGTCTGGTCTATAACTTCATAATAGAGAAACAACAGTGGAAGTTCATACTTCAACAATGACTTATGTCTTGAATGTGTGTCATGACCTAAACAAAGGTCTTTCTATTAAGTTCAAGGTCACTGGCAAAGAAAAGTGTAAAAAAATTTGAAGGTAGAAACTTCAAACAAAATTTATCCCTGAGCTAAAATTTTGTCATAACCTTGACCAAGGTCATTGTGGTGAGTTCAAGGTCGCTAGAAGAAAAGTGTAAAATTCATTTCATGTCTATAATTTTCTAAAGGAAAAACATTTGGATGTCCATGATTTACTCAAAGATTACTTATGACCAAAGGATGTATCATTTTTGCTCATTTTTGCAAGTTCAATGTTACATTTACAAAATCGTGAATTGGCACTTTAAAAAATTGGAGCAAGGGTTATTATTTTGTGAGCTTGCTCACAGTATCTCTTGATAAAATTAAATGAAATATGTATGCTTGCAGTCATCCCAGTTTTGAATATTTCAGGAGAAAAAGATGCAGAGAAGAGAGTTCGTTTTGAGGAGTCTGTAATCCAAAATGAAGATGGTATGTTTTGTATTCAAGATTCTGTACTAAGACTCCCCTACATCAAGTTTGCTCTTCAAAGTTTAAGGCCAAGGTTTAAGACCCAATTTTTCACCACATTTTTAAAAATAATTTTTGGAAGTGATGTAAATTTTTAAAATTTAAATTATAAATGTTACAAAATTTAAATCTTATAAATGTTAAAGTTCTATCATTGTATTGTAGGTACATTTAGATCTTCTGATCATCCACAAGTAGTATCCAAACCCAATTACTCATTTGATTGTTCTTAAAGTGCTTCATTTCATCAATGCAATACATGTATTTCAAATGCTAAGAGCTGTGGATGTACAGGGTGTTTCACAATATATGTCACACATCTAAAGGCAGAAAGAAAAATTACAACAAAAGCTACATATATATTTTATATATCATTTTGATCAGCAGATATTCAAAATTATTTTTTTTTTAGTCAGAAGTATCCAACATTCTCCATTTCAGTTTCTATGGCAATGATTTCCTAAAATGTTATACTCCACGTGTTTTCCTTACCATTGTCCTAAATATCTTAAGAGACTCGTGTTAAGAAATTTCTAACAACTGCTACATACGTTTCAAAGGATACTTGACAGATTTCTTGTTTATATCTAGCTTTTTAGAACCCCCAAAGTGCATATTTATTTTTTATTTAAAGATGCATTTAAATAAATGTGTCATCTCAGAACTACCGGTGTGTGCTGATGTCCACTTCTCTCGTTCTTCCATTCAATCAATTTTGCATCCTTAACTGACTCTGAATGTCAGTTGGCTTTAAATGCCGCAATGCTGAAATCTTATACGCAGACACACTCAATTCAAAATATATACATTTGTGGTATCTCTCTATTATATAAACATGCAGAGAGCAAATATCTTCATACCTGTATGAAGTTTTTTGAAGGTCATAGGTCATTACGTGACCTAATCACATAGCGCAGTAATATCTACATAAAAAGACTTACTCCACTAAGCAATATAGCATGTTTTTCATGCATAAAAATGTACAAAATACGCAAGTAAAATAATAATCATTTTATTTACAATGTAAACAAGTGTTTAATACAGTTCTTGATCGATTTTACATAGAGAATAGAAAACTACGTGTTATAAGTTTCATGTCTGAGCTGCATAGTCTCAACGTTTACCCTTATTTTTCTCGCAGACCTCTGAATGTTATATTTTTTTTTCATTTAACTTTACGCACAATAGATTTGAAAATCTGTTGAAAAATATCAATGTAATGCAATCACGCCACAAAGAGCTGACAAACACTGCACTTTGGAAGTTCGGTAGGCACACCTCCATCATCGAGATCTTAACAATGTAAGCTGTCGCCAGTGTCTCCATGTCAACATCATAAATTAATAAATATGCCTTACTGAAATCGTAGATTTTATGTTTTTCATCAAATTTTGTACTTGATTTCAAGTTATCTGGTCCGGACAAGTGTCTCCATCCATCCCTTCCCGACCGAAATTCCTCCAACTTTTTAGTATCAAACATCGGACGTGTTTCTTGTGTTTTTTAACATCAAATATGGGTTCTCATGAATACAAAAATTCCAAGACACCAATATGCTCACTATAATTGATCACAAGTAGCCTTTCACAGAATATTCCCTTCAAAACAGAATCCTTTGCCAGATGAATTTGAAGCGTAACCGCTTTTCAAGCCGATTTACACCTAGCGTAATTTGTCAAAATCTATGACATACAGTTAGTGCAATATTTATATTCGATTACATTCGATTGTCCGTCTCAAATGTTTATATAAGTAATGAATAACAAGTTTAAAAACTTCAATGGGAATTGAAGTGGGTCGGTACGTGATCAAATCTTCTGAGAAGGCCTTCGGCCTTCACAGGATTTGATCACGTGACCGACCCACTTCAATTCCCATTGAAGTTTTTAAACTTGTTATTTATTTCTTAATTGAAAATTTCTAAATAAACTTGATACACTTACATTGTCCCAATCCATTTTCCTAAACTCAGACAGATCTGACTTTCTTAACTGTTAAGGTTTTCTCAATGATTGAATTCAATTTGACAATGTTCTCTTTTGGGGGTGGGGGGGGGGGAGGCCAGGATGTAACTGTCTTTCATCTTTACATTATGTTTTTATGTTTTATTTAAACTTCTTAATTAACCTTTTTAAATGAAAACTAGACAGGGCTTTCTGGTCTGGATATTTTCCTTCATCACACCATGTACAATATTTAGGATATCGTGCTTATAATAAAAGTTTACAAATTCAAATTTTTGTTGCTAGTTGAATTCCATTTTGAGAACTGCTGAAATTATGACATCACTGATTACATCATCAGTGTACTTCATGTTATTATAATTTTCACAATATTTTGCAATATCATAATTTTATATGAATATGATTGTCTATGGTACTTTGGTATATTTGGTATCATGCCTGATATTCAGATGATGCCCATTTAGATGTGTGACATATATTATGAAACACCCTGTACTTGAGGGAGTTTTCAGTCCCATAAGAACAGCTCTAATTCATTTTAGTTGATTTTATTTAACGTAAACAGTATAAATTATTTACTTATTTCTTTAGTCTGCACAATTTTAAGTGTATACGAAGTATGTGACAGTGTAACTTATGAAGAAGAAATTTGATACAAAATAGTCACAAGATTGTGTACTAGTTTGAAAGTAAAAAGATTTATACTTTTTATTTCAGAGGAACAGTGTGCCAAGGTATTTGTGTGGATCCTATTTGCGATCTGTGGGGTCATTCTGTTAATCCTGGGGTTGTACCTCTACTGCCATATCTCCTCGGGGAGTACGTGTACCTCCTACAAATACCAGATCAAGTACATCTGGGACCGTGTCAAGTACTACTACTATCACTACACACAGTCCAAACTCAGGAAGTTTGTCTGAGTCAAAACAAGTCAAACTCACAGAGAAAGCAAGACCTTGTCATATTTAATATTTATTTCTAACTAAACAAAAATAATACTGTAGATCACCAAATTTATGTAACACCTTATTTTTGCCAGATAGTTATTTGGTAATTACATATAAGTAAGAATTTTTTTTTTGAATTCTGGTTATTGTTGTATGTAATAATTAATTTAAAAATATATGCGAGAATGAAATTTTCATGAGCAGTCTGGCTTAATTATTGAAAATAAAGTTCTCGCAAATAAAAAGGGATTTACAGTAATGAAATTCTATTCTGATCTAATCATAATATTGATCTCTCAAGTATCAGGGTTGTCCCTAAGAATTGAAATAACAGGGGACATTAAAAAAGTAGAAGTGTGCTTAGGGTTCCTCCCCTAATGGGGGAATACCAGAATAACCAGAAGACTACATCATTATAGGTGGGGAAATTCCCCAGCCCCCAGGTCTTAGGGACAACCCTGTAGTATATAAAACTATCTCTTGTTTTACTCAGGGCTTTGCCACAGCTATAAGGATTTTCATTTTCAAAATATGTTGATGTTCAGCAGAATTTTTGTCACATCTAACATGACTTACTTGGGTTTATTGCAAAAGAGCTGAATTCAATCTGTTACCAATTTATATTGCTTTGGGTTGTGTTATTGTCTGTAACAAGTAATATATAGCTTCTAGCTTTCAAATGCACACAGGTTGCAGAACAAGACCTTTTAATATTATAAATGTATATTTCAATATAGATGTTAAACATATGAAAATCTTTAAACCGGTGTATAATACATGTACAAATGTGTCATACTTGCTGAAGCAGCTGATATATTTTTTTATATTATAACCATGTTTTCACAATATTATTTTGAAATTATAACTTCAGCATTAGTCTTTCCACAAAATATAGATAAAAATGTTTCTCAAATTGTATTTTTTTGGGGGGGAGGGGGGGGGGGAGGTTAGAAACATATTTGATGTTATATCTGTATTATACTACTACCCATTTGTCATGTGGAATAGAGAGAAGTGATTTTTGTGCATTAATTGCTACTTTCAGCCTAACATAAAATTTCATTAATTATATATGCTGACATCTGCATGGAAAATATTGAGAGATATGTTAACTTGACTAGATGATCATACATCATGTCTAGTATGGCCATTTCTGATTGATGGTTTGCTTGACAACTAAGCAAGCACCATCTGTAGTGTTACAGATACTGTTCACCTTTTAAATTTATATTTGTAGGAATTTTTAAGAGTAACATACATAACTTAAGCTTTAACTTTTTGATGTTTAGTAATTTCCATGCATTATTAACTTCACACAAAATTGATAAATTGTGATACAAGATCTGTGATTTATGCATTTTCATAGAAAAGGAGAAAGAAAGATATGCAATATTAATATTTTTAATTAGTGTATTTATGTTTAGATATATGTTTACATATTTAATTTATATTCTACCTTACTCTTTCTAGTCGATCTCATCTGTCCAACGTGTTGTACTCTTCTTGTTATTATATGTTGTTTATAGTTCTTATCACTTTAAAAAAGATGTTATAGATATACATATACATGTATTTCTGTTCAGTAACATGCACACTTGATGTAGTGTTAAATGGAACTTTTAGCTCACCTGGATCAGGCTTTATGGGCCCACATGATCAACTGTCAAAGTTCATCTAAAGTTTATCCAACTGTTCATTTGGGCAAAATTTTATGATTGTTTTATATATTTTTCTTCAACTCATATGATCTCAATATTCAGGGTGGGACCAAAATTAATAAGTATTTGACATGGGCATTCATTTTTTTTTAAAAAGTACATCAATTTCTTTATAAAATAATTATTACATCAGACATTTTTATTAAATACAATCTTAATTTATCACATATTTCTGTTGTATGTTATTGCATCCACATGTATTTTAATCTTGATACAGTATCTTTGTTGTGGTGGAGTTATCATGCTTATTTGTAATTTTTACGCATTTAGTCTGTAAATCAAGTTCTAAGACTGAAAAAATATATTCAGTTTAATGTAATGTGCAATCTTGCTAACACATATAAATAATAATTAAAATGTTACATTTCATATCATGCAGATATGTATGAATACTATATTCACAGAATATTTAACATTGCTGCACAATTGCTTCAGGAATAGTTTTTATTCTCATCTAGTTCTACCATTAAATTTGATTCAATGTTTAATACAGTATGAGAAAATGTGTTCTAATACCGTAACCACATTATAATTGTAAGAACTTTACTTTCATGCAGTATGTAAGAATTTCTGGATCATTGTAAAACTAAATTCTTGTGATCAGCAACAGAAGTAATTCATTGTATGACAGATCATGAAAAAACGAGCATACTGTAAACTATTGCAATGACATTGTCTCACAGAAACAAGCATTCTGAGAGTATTGCATTAGCAATACTAGTTTCCTACTGGCAAGTGTAATCTGGTTCCCACTAAAAATTGAAAATGCCATAATTCTGTCAAAAATCAATGAAGCGGGATGAAATGCAAACTTGACCTATAACTAATCAAGGTTAAGTCACATGCCAAAAATCAGCTCAATATCTGCAAGCGTTTAGAAAAAAATTGCGGAAAACCTTAAAAAATTAGAAAGATTGTTATTCCGCCAAAAATCTTTGGAGCGGAATGAAATGCAAACTTTATCTGTAACTCATTAAGATATACTCACATACCAAAAATCAGCTCAATATCTGCAAGCGTTTAGAAAAAAAGTGCGGAAAACCAAGTGGGACAGACTGACAGACAAAGGGATAGACGGACAAACAGACAGACTCAGAGGAAACCTATAGTCCCCTCCGGTTTCACTGGAAGGGGACTAATAAACTCACAGGAAATACAAGTGATTTTCAGAAACCTATGGAAAAAAGTAATGATGTATTGGAACCTGATTGCAGTTAAAGTTTTGTACAAATGGTGACATTTTTTGAATTTGTCTTGTTTGTTTGTTTAAATGTATTCAATATTACAACTTATCTAATTGGTATTTTGTAGAGATTTATTTTATACACTAAATTTTTCATTAAAATATTACAAGCTTAAATTCAGTTTTGTTTATATCAGTACAATTAAATTACTGGTATTCAAAGGCAGAAATGTGGTCAGAATTGACTGATGTAACTTTTGATTATACTGATTAACTCCACTCCTGTTAAATCAGGCACATAGTATCGGGGATTGTCCTTTGACTGAATGATGTCAAAGTTGATAAAAATCCATAAAAACCTTCCTCTTATTGTTGTTGATCTATTTCATGTACATGCTCTATTTTAGCTATATGAAATGTCATGTTTGTAATAGACATATCAATAGTGTCTTTTGTCTTAAGCTTTGAACAAAAGACGCTAAAATCAAAACCTTTTTTTTTTTTTATAATTTACGGATAATGTCTTATTTTTAACAATCCGGAAGACAAGCCCCTATGCAACTGTCCAAAGGTTGGGCCAAGGATAAAGTTTTTCAAAATGAGGTCAAACTCAAAGGTCAAGGTCATGATAATAAATATGAATACCTTACAAAAGGTCTTGTAACAAGGAATACACAACTGAAATATGAAAACCTTAGCACCAACTGTTCAAAAGTTGTGGCCAAGGTTAATGTTTTTGTGGACAGACAGGCCCTTAAATCTCCAATTGCGGGACATACAAACTGCAAATTTCTTTAACATACATTTATTGACATGCATCATAGCTTCAAACAAACAAATAAAAAGATTTCTAAAACAAATACAGTTGGTTAGAACAAGATTTTAATATTCATATTTATTTATATTAATTTTATACCATTCAGAAACATTGATCAATCTGGCAAGAAATTACAGAAGTTGATAAAAAATATCTTGATAAATGCATTCTACCCAACACTGGAATACATCTAGTATTTTGTTAAATGATTAAGAAAACTTCATGTAGATGAATAAGTTCAACAAAATGCTACATAAAAATAGATCAAAAGCCATTCCCTAAGAGATGCTTTAAATAAAAAATAACCAATATCTAACATGACATGTAGTACATAGAGATCACCCTTTTGAAAATACTTTTGGTTCTGAATAGGGATAAATGCCTTGTACTGAAAGAGTACAGGACAATGCAAAGCTGTGCTGGGTTACATGTACATGTACTAGAATGCTTCTCATAATTAATACAAGGTAACTGTATCCATTTTTGACTGAGACTTTTCATTACAACAGTACATAATACTTCATTGGTCTAAAATACATGTAATTAATGGCATTTAGAATAATTTAAGAGTTGGTTACCATTGACATGCAAGTACATGTATATAGAAGTCTTTGTCTTCTTCTACATGTACATTTATATAAACAAAATATTTGGTAATTATTAAGAAACATCAAAAGAGGACACGCCTCCCATAATCAATGCTGGACCCATAAATGAGATTCAACCATAAAATAATTAAAAACTACAACTGTCCAAACTGATACTAACTATTTTACTATGTATAGATGGACCATACAGTGTATTTGCAAATTCTGTTTGGATATTTCTTGAGATAAGACTAAAGGCCACCTAACCTGAATATTTAACCTGAATCACTGGAGCACAGAATGTAGATAAAATATACAGCATCTTGAGTGTGCATCACATTAGGTATCCACAGGTACACCACGTCTCCAACTTTGGTTCGGATACCTGGAGATGAACTAAAGAGACCTAAACATTGGGCATAACCTTGCACTTGGATATATAACATGAACAAAACAATCTGATGCATGGATTGATATACATTTTTTGACCGATTTTTAATAGAAATGACATAATCCCTTAGATATAAAGAAATCATGTTTACTTTGGTGCTGAAATATGCAACTTTGTGCCATTTTCTATTTAAATGTATACATTTTTTTTTATCATTAAATGTATTACAAAATCTTATGAAATTTTCACACTTGCCCTGGCAAACATTATTCAGGTTATCTATATGAATATAATCTATGAGATATACTGCTGATTTCTGAAGTCACTGGAGCATAACATAGTTAAGATACAGTATTCAGAGCATGCACACGATTCAGTATCCTGAGATGTACCACACCTGTACGTCTTTGTTTGATAAGCAGGAAATAACCTATGCATGGAGCTTAACATGACAGACAGACAGATAGACATGGTAATTCTAGTATATCCCTCACAGTATTGTTGTTGAGGGTAAAAAAAACCCAGCAAGAATGATCAGCTGTGACATGACATTTTCATTTAGTCCAAAGAAAAAACATATAGGTACATTAAAGCACCATTCTTCAATAATGGAAATGCTTTTCAAGGGAAATAACTTGTACCCTCCAAATTCAATAAACGCATTTGCATGTAAAAAAAAAAATGCAACAAAATTTTATTCTTAACAAAATATCAATAACATCACAATTTCTTCACCTTTGGCTAAAAAAATACAAATATTGTTTTGATTCTTCACATATCACACTATAAGTAATGAGGAAATATATGTATATCTTAATTAAAATGGGGGAAAAAAGTATGCAAGAAAAATGTAATGCAACAAGGAATACAACTTCTGAACTTTTAAAAATCAATAATTGTATACTTACAGTCATGCATGCTCTTTTTTTCATTATTATCTTTCCTATTGTCAAAACATTATTCCATTAATTTACAAAGTACCATAATAAATGGGACTTTTATAAGTAATTCGTCTATAGATTGCCTATTAGTATAAAAGGTACTTTAATATTATATATAAAATTATAGTCATATACTGAGATTTAAATGATGATAAAATTTAGATTTTTGTTTAATACCAGGTGGTAAAATACTGAATACATATATTACATAAAACATTATAGACTTTTTAACATTACATGTATATTGTCCTCAAAATGTGATAATAAGAAGTTAATGAAGTTTGACTTTTGTGTATTACTATTCTTCATGTAAATTTGGCAAGATAAGGTCTGACATGCAGCAACAAAGAAAAAAGTATTAAAAAAAGTACCTGCCATTAATTGAACTATGATTTTAAAAATTCACAATAACAGTTTTAAGACTTAAAACACATACAGCTTGTTGTAAGATACAAAATCACCAATAATTACATTCAGCAGAGTTTCCTGTTAAGCTGGGACAATATTCTGATACTTTAATGTATCATATGATACAAAGTATTACAGGCATGTCAAAAAAGCTGATAAAGTATCAGTGTTTTCCCAAAGAACTGGCTACCGGCCAAATTGATCACTTCAATTGATAAAAATGCCGCTCTGAAATATCATGATTTTTTATTGTGTGTGATGCATATCATGATACGGAGACTAAAATACCAGTATTCAGTACATAATTATAAATTTCAGAAATCATTCACTTATTTGTTCAAACAATGGCATTCTAGCACCCAACCATGCTTTATCAATATATAAATAAAAATGAAATAATTGAAGTTATGTTTTCACATTACAGTTGTTAGAAAAATGATGGAAAATCATAGTAAAAATTGTGTGTAATAATATCATAATATTATTGTGATATTTTAGGGGGAAATCTTGATATATCATGATATAAAATTTTTGGTGATACCCATCCCTCTAGAATATCCCATGATTTTATTTCAATTTCGTCAAATACAAGAGTTTATAGAGCAGATATTTCACATAATCCCTAATATGATTTACAAAAATATTTATTGCTGTAGCCATACTTTTTTCTGCATGGGATTACATTATGCTACATATGTGTATGTGGTCACAAATTTTCCACGGAAATTTGTCACAGCTTCTTTAAGTTCATCCAAGACATATAGTGGAAATCCTAGAAATCCGCGCAATTGTCTACCCAATGATTGAACAGAAATTGTGATTCTGCGGAATTATAATCCCACGGAAAAAAGTATGTTCAAATTATTTGTAATGAAACAGAAAATACAATTTTGAATTTTTCTTTATGATTTTATTATTTTTTTTTTTTCAAACAATAAAAATCCAAATCAACATCCAAGCCCAACACTCCTATTTCATTTTTCAACCTTTCTTCCTTAAGTTTTCCTACTGACTGACATATTAGCAGTATCATGATACATTACACATGTAAACAGATAGTAAAAGCAGTATCATAATATATATTACAGCATGTAAACAGATGGTATTACATGTGGCTGTATCATGATATGTTAAAGTGTGTAAACCGATGGTATTAGCTGTATCATGATACATTACAGCATCTAAACTGAAGGTATTAGCTGTATCATGATACATTACAGCATGTAAATTTCTTCTCCTTGCCTGGAGAGATCAGCTGTGTCGTATCTTTCGTTGATTCTAATTCACTTTGAACTGTGTGGTTATTGTTCTCCGAGCATGCCTTTTCTTTTTCTTTCTCCTTATTTATTACATCTTCACAGAGACTATAAAAAGCCTGGAAATAGACAAATAATGTATGGTTTACCAGAGATAAATGGAATTAATGTGATTGTATTATTTTTAAAAAATTAATTATTCCACTTTCTGCACACATATATGTTCCACATAGGGAAAAATAGTTTGCAGTGTTAACTTTTTGCTATATTTGAGTTCTTAATGAATCTGCTAAATTAAAATATGTGCTAAAAGATCATTATATTCATGTTGAAGGAATATTTTCTATTTACATGAATGCAAACACCTGCAAACAATTTTAAAAGTGCTAAAGAAAACTTCACATCCAGGATTTTAAGCCCCTGTACAGTATATAGTACATGTCTAGAGTATTATGTTAAAGTGGCATGTACCAATAACTGTGCCGCAATGTAGACAAGTTGCAACTTTACTGCTTGGTACATGTAAGATGGAAAAAAACAACAACTACATAGTGAACAATTATTAAATTTGCATTTAATTAACTAAAGACAATTAGCTCAGATGCTAATTTACCTTTTCCAGATTGATGCTGTCTTTTGCACTGGTTTCATAAAATAAAAGTTTATTTTCCTCTGCAAACTAAAAAAGAAATAAACCGAAGCAAATATTAGGACTATTTATTGTTGTTTCATGACCTCATCCTGTTTGATTTTATGTCATTATTAATCATAAAATGAATTAATAACATCTAAGAAGTCCAAAGGTAATGATGAGGTCAAGCTTTCATTACTGTTTACCAGACATTTCCATGTGCACACAGTGATGGATATTCTCACCTTGTGCAAAAATATGAATACCTGTCCATTTTTGTCAGAGCAAAGTTTGATCTCTAAGAGTCCAAAATAAATTTTCATTAAATATAAACAAATAACTATTTTTTTTATTATGGCATTTTTCTTAAGATAGGCATACTGGTAATCTAATAATTTCTCATGTGACTTAAAGCTGACAAACATTATTACCTAAAGGTCTCTTGTTTTTTCATTTAAGTCTCTAACCTTTGTTTTTTTAAGAGCTAGTTCTCTTTTGTTTGACATAAATGTTTTTATCAAATGAAGAAGTAAACATTTTGACCTTGATATAACTTAAGGGCCTCTATCCCTGAATTTTGATCTTTATTCTTACCACATCCTGACCCTGGCATTCACTGTCTTTACATTTACTTTTAATTAGATATACATCCTGACATTTAATTAGATATGCGTGCTGACCTTTTTGGCTTCTTCTTCTGCTACCTGTCTATTATCTTCTTTATCTTTCTTGTTTCCCATCAAAAGCACAGAGACATCCTCTCGTGCAAACTATGTCGACCAAAATGAAAAATAAATAAATAAATAAATAGATGAAGGCTGAAAACAGATTCTTCTCTTTGCATTCCTTTTTTTAAAACTTTTGATGAAAAGAAATTGTACTAGACTATAGACATTTAATTAATTAAATGACAGATTACCTGTTTTACGTAATCTAACCATTTAGGTACAGCTTCAAATGACATCTTGCTGGTGATATCGTAGACCAAAATAATACCCTGTGAATACAATACCCTCTCATTAATCTCAACACGTCACCCAACATACAATCAACACAACATTCCACAGTCTGTAAAACACCCAGGTTATCTCACATGGGAATTCTGCATTAGTTTAAGCTTTCTAACATTTGAGATAACACACTTTGTAAATGCCGACTGTTTCAGGGTACAAAACTTTACACTTACTCAGTTACTGTTGCAATACCGGTACATCTTTATATACAATGATAAAATTCTAACTGACCACCAAATGTTGAAGCATTTACAAAATTTAAACCTAATTCATTCATCAATAAATATATTGAACACAGAAAAGCATACATGTACTATATTCAAAGCATATCAGGCACAGGAGCTACAAAGCTGACAAGATTTACCATACTCTTATCAATTCACAAACACACATTTTTTTTTAAGCCTACACTTAATAAAGATGACTTTTACTGATTTGAACGGTATACTATATTAGTCTTTCATATGTTACATTTCCTTAAGATTTTTTCTGATACATTTAAGGTTTAATTTAATCCCTCTCATGATCTTCTCTAACTGGAATAAACTTGAATCAATTTCCATCAGGAAGACACTTGCATATTTGTTTGACTTTGCAAGATTTCAATAAACTTTTTTCCCACATAAGACCTAAATTATATTCTTTAATACTAATTCCTTTGTAAATTAATCCTGGCCTTAGGGACTTTGAACCATTGTAAATCTACCCTTAGGCTAATATATGAAGCTTGCACATTACATTGACAAATTTCAGTCTCTTTACAGACAAAATATTTTAAAAGATCTTAATTTTCTTTACAAGCACATACTCTTTTGTCAATACTTTAACTTTTTTTGTGGACCCAGCCTTGTTTTTTTGCAGAGGCCTGCATAAGCAGCTTTTGAATTTTGGAAAGAAGACATTCCTTTGTATTGTTCAGTAAAATGATTAACCTGTACTTTTAGACATGTAAAATACATCACATTTAGAAATCTTAATTCATACTTTAGACTCACATTATATATGCAGAAGATCTATTTGTGTGTACTCATGATGTAGAAAGATGTATCTTAGTATACAGTCTATATATCTTAAGTCTAATTGTGTTTCAAGTCTATAATTGAAATACTGTAGGAGGAGTAATCTTTTTAAAGAATTTCACAGAAATTTCTACTTAAAGTAATACATGGCAACATCTATTTCTGAAATCAAAATCTGATAAAAAGAATTTTTTAACTAATTACGTATAATGTACTTCAGTACCAATTCTTATTGAAATTGGATTTAAAATGTATGAGCAGAACTAGAGATATTTCTATTTTTAGTAACAATGGCAACACCATTTGTCATAATCAAAACTATGTACCTTAAAATAATCTACTTGTGTATCAAGTCTTATTGAAATTAGACCAAAACTGTAGGAGGGGTAGCATCATGAAAGAGTTTCAAAATGTCTAGTTTTAGTAACCATGGCAACATCAATTGTCAAAATCAAAATCTGATTTAAAAAAAATTATGTATCTTTATAGTATACTTATGTACCAACTCTTATTGAAATCAGACCAAAATGTAGTAGGAGAAGCATTTTTGAACAATTGTGTACAGAGAGACAATTAGATGGACAGACAACAGACACCTTACAAATGCATAAGCTCTTCTTGGTCTCTTACCAATAGAGCTAAAAACTTGTTAAAAAATTTAGAATCAAATCTTACAGGTGAGCAACTATTGGATCAATACAGGGTAAAAACTGCTATCTTTACATCTTGCAAAACATTTTGTCAGTCACGAAAAGTGTCAAAAAAAAAAAGTACAGGAAATGTTTAACTACAGATTTTCTGAAGTTTGCATGCACTACTGAGTGCTCATTGATCTAAAGTCAAGCCTTGCTATGTATCAGACAAAGGGTAATACAAAAGATATAAAGTAACTCCTACACTGCATACATGTATGTTTAGTCAGTACATTAATGTCAAACATATACTGGAACAGGTGCTTAATAAAGTATGATGGTGACAGTCTACCTTCACCTGTTGGTAGGGGTGGAGCAATCCCTTAGTGTCTTGTGTCAAGCTAACCAAAAGATGACACAAATCCCCCCCCCCCCCCCCCCTTTTTTTTGTTTAAATTCTCCATATTCTTGGTAACAAGAATTAGTGCAACATTTAAAATAAATGTTTGCTGATTTCATGCATACTTACTTGAGCTCTTCTGTAAAACTGCTTTGTGATTGATTCAAATCTCTCTTGGCCTGCAGTATCCCTGCATATCAAAGTAAAATCTTAGTTTTAATATAAATCAAACAGACTGTCGTCAACTTTGACAAAAAACAAAGAAAAAAAAGAATAAAAACATTTGTTCACATTGTTCACAAATACTTAATATTCAGATAATGATTTAGTAATCATATTAAACAAGTATAATATAATAATGAAGTAGAGGATCATCTATAGAGCTCTATCGATTCTTAGGAACTAAAACAAAAGGCCCATGGGCCACAAAGCTCACATGAGTTACTATGACCCTTCTTGATCTTCATCAACAGATACTTTTTCCTATATATTCTCATGTAAAACTTGATCACCAATTGTAGCCCCACCCTATCCTCTAGGGTCAAGATTTGAATAAATCTGAATGTACACTACCTGAGGATTCTTCTTTATAAATATGGCTAATCATGACTTTGCTGTTCGTGGGGAAAAGATATTTAAAAGATTTTCTCTATGTATTCCTATGTAAAACTTTGATCTCCCATTGGGCTTCACCCTTATACCCCTGGGTCATGATTTGAACAAATTTTAATATACACATCTGAGAATGCTTCCATATAAATATGACTGATCATGGTTTTGCTGTTCTTGAGAATAAGATTTTTAAAGATTTTTCCTATACAGGTAACTCTCGATACCTCGAAGTCCACGGGACCGAGGAAAAACTTCGAGAGATCAAGAGTTCGAGTTTTCAAGCGTCCGGAATTTTTCTGGGTTTCTTGACCGGTTTTAAAGTTAGTCTTACCGGATGTAATGATTTTCATGCAGTGCTAACCTTTTACACGTGTTTTTTTTTTTTTTAAGACAACGATATTTTTTTTTCATTATTTAGATGTATATTTCATTAAACTGAGTAAAGCAAAAAATGCATATCGTCATTTCATGTATATTTTTTTATTCTTTGTTATACGGACATCATACTACGCATTCGTTACATGAAAACAACATTTTACAGCGTCGTACATAGCATTGACTATTCCAAACATGCATGATCAGTGAACGCAGTTCTGTAAGTATTTGTCCAACAATGGTCGTCATATTGACATTGAGACTGTTTCTGCTTTTTCATATTTCGTTTAACTTTGACACTGACTCGAAATAAAAATTAAAATTAGTGTTTGGTCTTTTAATCAATTATTACTTTTCACTAACACTGCGTAAATTATCGTAAGACAGTCGATGAAAATTATTTTAAAAGCATATAGGCAAAATATGATCAATTATAATTCAATTATCATCTTGCAGCATAAGTGTCACCTGAATAAACATCCCGTTCCTCGAGAACCGCGTCTTCTGCCTGGGGTCATTTAAACGTCCAGGTAAACAGGTGCTAATTATATAACATTGTATACAATAGCCACTTCGAGGTATCGAGGGTAAATTTTAATAGCTTATGCATAGCGGGACTGCATTTTGACTTCGAGGGATCAAGGGTTTCGAGAGATCAAGAGTTCGAGAAATCAAGAGTAAATTTCCTTAGTTATATAGGGGGAAAATTCGGGACCGGAGACTCACTTCGAGCGATCAAGAACTTCAAGAGATCGAAGTTCGAGCCATCAAGAGTTACCTGTATATACCCATGTAAAACTTTGATTGCCCATCATAGCCCCACCCTATCCCCGAGGGTCATGATTTGAACAAACTTGAATCTACACTCTGAGGATGCTTCCATATAAATATGACTGCATGATGATGGCTTTCCTAATCTTGAGAAGAAGATTTTTAAAGATTTTCCCTATTTATACCCATGTAAAACTTTGATTGCCCATAGTGGCCACAACCCACCTGGAGGTCATGATTTCAACAAACTTAAATCTACACTACTGCTTCCATATATCAATAAATATGACTGATAAAGGCTTTGCCTTTCTTGAGAAGAAAATTTTTCCTATTTACACCAATGTAAAACTTGGATCGCACAGTGGCCACACCTTACACCTGGGGGGTCATGATTTGAACAAACTTGAATATACACTACCAATGGATGCTTCCATTTAAATATGACAGATCATGGCTTTGCTGTTCTTGAGAAAAATTTTAAAGATTTTTTCCTAAATAAATCCATGTAAAACTGATTGCCCATAGTGGCCACACCCTACTCCTGAGGTTCATGATTTGAGCAAATCTGAATCTACACTATGTCAGGAGCTTTCACAGAAATTTTATATTTTCTGGCCAAGTGGTACTTGAGAAAATTTTTAAATGACCATAAACAGTTGTTACTTTTTAAATATCTCCCCTTGGAAGAGGGTCTGGCCCTTCACTTGAAGAAACTTGAATCCCCTTTACCCAAGGGTACTTTGTGCCAAGTTCGGTTGATATTGCTGGTTATGGAGAAGAAGATAAGAATGTGAAAAGTTATGACAACAATGACGACAGACAACGGACAAATTTCAATCAGAAAAGCTCACTTGAGCCTTCGGCTCAGTTTAGCTAAAGTCTATTTACCCAGTATTTGATTAAAACATGCATGGAGTTTCCAATTTTTTTTTATATTTGCACTTTGCTAAGATTTTAACTGTAAACATTGAAAACTACACAAAGCCTATGCAGTAATTCAGATATTGTTTATATGAATAAAATCTGCAACATCTAAATTTAGTTTACTTAAATTGATTAGTATATACATTTTACTGTGCATGCTCCATCAAATAAACAGGGAAGAGAAAAAATGGAAATATATTAACCATATCTGAACTTTGATTGTTTTTCCTCCAACTGATATTGTCTTCATCTTGAAATCAATTCCTGGAAAGAGAAAACAGTAACATCTCAGTGATTTCCTGTCAACTATAAATGAACTACCAGGTACTAGTTTTAGTACTAGTATTTCAGACAAAGTATTCTCACAGGAACACCTTTATATATCTAAGTTCTTGCAACTTTCTGGGCACTGTCCTCTGTCTACAAATCATATTAAAATATTTACAGTCAAACCTGTCACAGCGACCACCTGAATTAAGCTTCTTCCTGTCATATGCAGCCATTTAAATTTTCTCCCAAGAATTTTTCATTATATCTCAAATGCAATCAATGACACTCTGTCTAACATTAGATACCTCCATTGTGGCCCAACCTACCTCTGGCAGTCATGATTTGAACAAACTTGAATATACACTACCTGTGGATGCTTCCTTATAAATATGACTGATCATGGCTTTGCTGTTCTTAAGAAGAGTTTTTTCTGTTTATACCCATGTAAACTTTGATAGTGGCCCCATCCTACCACCTGGGGTCATGATTTGAACAAAGTTAAATCTAAACTATGTCAGGAAGCTTTCACATAAGTTTCATCTTTCTGGCCAAGTGGTACTTGAGAAGATTTTTAAATGACTACACCCAATTAGTACAATGTACCATTTCTTAATTATCTCCCCTTGGAAGAGGGTGCAGGGTTTGACATGAACTTTTATGAGTACTAGACCAGTCGGGCTACTTCCCTTAATTTTTACTAGCCCTGACCGTAAAATCACTAGCCCTGACCAAACCTGCAAATTTTTTCTTACAATCGCTAATTTTATGAGGTAAATTTGAAATTGTTTCAAACTAGCCAATTGAGTCGGGTTCATCAAGACATGAGAGTATTGTAAGCTTTAAAGATCATTCAACGAACTTTAATAATTTTTTATCCAAAATATTAATAATTTAATTGTAGAATATATTTTTTCAGTAACTATTTATACCATGTTGATACTGAACGATACTAGTTTCTACCGAGGCTTGTCTATTACAGCCGTGGCTAAAAATAGTGATTGTGTCATACAGGGATTTTTTTCTTTACAGAGCGATAGCTGTGTTTACAATCGGACAAATTTAAGAAAAATTCTTTTAAAGTTTTTGGAATATTTATTTGAAAGACTTGAATGGGTTTTAACAGTTATTTTATTAACACGACCAATTGGTCTAGTTCACGTACATTTTACACGACCGGACCACTCATTTACTAGATTGGGTCGGTCGGACGTGCCTTAGTGTCAAACCCTGGGGTGTGTCCCTTTATTTGAAGAAACTTGACTCCCTTTTACCTAGGATACTCTGTGCCAAGTTTGGTTGAAATTGGCCCAGTAGTTCTGGAGAATAAGATGAAATTGTATTTAAAATGTTTATGATGACAATGGACAGATTCTGATCAGAAAGCCTCAGGTGAGTTAAAAAATTTCTATTTGGGACTGTGTCAATTTAGGAGACCTGCAAGCAACTGATATATTTATAAATATGCAAAGTAAAAGATTATTTTATGGAAAACCTAGCAGATCAAAAGATATGAACTATCAAGGCCATGCACAGAATACATAACGTGTGTATATTCCATAATAGTATCAATCACTACATAGGTATTACCAATAAATCGACAGATTGAGATCAGACCTACTGATCTGATGAATGCCTGGGAGAATTGATCTGGATATTTTTAGTACTGTGTACATCACTTTTAGTTTCCCCTACATTTAATCCTCTTAAGCTGAATGATACTACAACAGTATCACTAAATCTCAAATTTACAATATTGTTCTTTAAATAAATTTAGTGTTTTTGAAACTTTGTACTGTTTGTGTCTGATGACAAAGGAAACATCAAAGATCTGATAATATTAATTGTCACTGTGCTGTGATAATTCTTAGCGAGATCATTATCATTCAGGTACATAAATAATAAGCCAGCATGATTTAGCCTGCTGTCAACCACAGAACAGGTAATTACAGGTAAGGAAACAGTAAAGGGCACAATGTATATAGTCTTTGTTAAGAAGAGCTACATCAGACATACCATTTTCACACCACATAAGTTCATTTAAAGTTATCTGAAGTATAAACTGAATATACTATATCAAAAATACTCATTAAGTCAAATAAAGGCAGAAATGCTGCACTTAACTGTTACAAAAATCAGTTTCCTTCAGGCATGTAAGAAATAGTGTTAAATAATGGTGTAGGCCAACTCTACAAGTTAGTATATATTTTCAAACAGAATAATTCAATGAATTGTGTTAAAGCAGCAAAAGATTTTGATAAGAGTGTGACAGATGCATGCAAACATCGTTTTGTCATGGGTGAGGTGTTAAACCACTGGGGGCTGGGTGGAGGGGGGTACTTCCTCTGATGAGAGGGGAGTAAAAAAAAATGTGAAAAATTGAGTACTTTACTTTAATTTTGTCTGTGTGTGTTTGGAAGGACGAAGGAGGGGATCATGTACCACATCCCTCTCGAATATTCCCTTTAGGGAAGTGGACAGGAGAAAATATTGAAAATCATCAAGAGCTGTAACTGATGGTTTACTGTAGTTCAACAATCCATTGGTGTCCTAGACATAGTAAAATATAACTTAATTATGCAAACACAGTTGTTGACAGTTAGATCTATCTTACCAATTGTCGTGATGTGCGAGTCAATAAACTCTTCACTGGCATAGCGACATAAAACACAAGTTTTCCCCACACCAGTCTCTCCGACCAAGAGTAAACGCATCAGCATGTCATAACGTTTAGACACTGTCCGTTGTAGTGGAGAAGTTTTCTCCATTTTTCTGTCACTCTCTTTCTTATTGTCCATTTTAGATTAATGGAGAAATTATCATTTCAATAATCCTTCCACTCATTTCCAATTTAAAAAAAAAATAAAAATAATCTTACGTTCACAGTATCACAACATCGTTTTAACATACTCCACAATAGTTCACAGCAGAATTATATATATCGATTAAGTATTTTAGGATGGCTGAGTTTGGAGTGTCACTGCAACACCTTGTCATTAGCTGTCGCATACTACAGAAATGAATAATAATGAGGAATTTTTTACACGTCACCTGTCAACACAGTCTTAACATTTTTGCGGGAAACGGGACACAACTCTTCTGAAACTGAAAGTAGAGACTAATTTAAAAATCTACAATCCCTGTAAATAACTCGAAAAATTCCGGATATATAACGTACTAAGATTTACCATTATCCCAAACATAAAATGAAAATATTCATGTATAAAAATGCCTCTTTATTTTTTCATTTCACTTTTTTAAATGCACCAATCTGTACAATTGCATATCAATAACTCAGCTATTACTACAGAAAAAGTTAAAGCTAAAGCTCAACCTGTACACAAATACTGATTAAGAGTCAATAAAAGATATCCTTGTATCATATGAAATAAATCATAAAGAAGACATTTGTTGAAATGCTTAAAGCAGCAAACTACTGAGATACATAACAGGGTATCTAAGAGGGGAAATGGACTAGAAGAAATCAAAACATAAAAGTATTGAAAAACCTGAATCAAATGCATGTACCCTATATATCAACACAAAATATGTATCACTTGTATTACATATTGAGGTTTACTTGTACAGTAATTGTACATTTACTTGTACAGTAATTGTACATTTACTTGTGCAGTAATTGTACATTACAGACTGACAACTTGAAGTTTCCAAGGACACTACAAGTTCTAGCTGGTGATATATGTAACATATCACTAGCTGGTGATATATGTGACATATCACTCACATTTTTCATAAGTTATGTTTTGACAGTTTTTCGGCATACAAGTACAGTGTATTAGCACTAAAATACTTAAATTAGTTAACATAGTTAGTAAAAATAACAATTCAATTTAACACAACAAAATATACGTAACTGTTTTTTTCTTTAGATTATCCTTTTATTACATGTATTTGCATTCAAATAAGATACTTTTATGAATCAGTGTACAAATGTACATGAAAAAAAAAATCCACTATAACTTTGTTTCTGAGATTTGGTACTATACCATAAAATGTGTAAAAATTAATTACAAATTTACATGTATCCATTGCCCATATGCTGCAAATACAAAATATTAACAAATACATGCACATGTATATTGCAGAATGTAAGTACCAGTAAACTTCCTGAATACGAATTTGATTTGATTTGGAAATTTCATTTTTTTTTTAATACTCAAAGCAGACAGAAAAGATGAAAACTGGTCACCAACCAGTACAGAAATAAAAAAAAACATAAAATGTTAAAATTATACTGATCCTTGTGAACAATTGGCTGTCACAACGAGACTAAGCCAGATGGATGCTTGAACAACTACCCACTCTAATGCTAAGAACATTAAGTCATTTTCTAACAAAATATCAATCCCTAAACTTGTCTACACTGGCAATTAAGGGTAAAATTTCTCATTGGAATATCACATTTTTTCCCTCTTTCAAGTCATAGATAAAATCATTATTGAGCAAGCTAACTAAGCAGAATGCAAATCAATCTTTAAGTACGGTACAGAGGTTCCAAGTGGACTGAATCTGGAAGCATTGTGTAGTGATGGTTAAGTCAATGTTTATTAAACTATGATAGCCATGTTGTTTGGATTTAAAATCTCAATCCAGTATCCATCTGGGTCCTTAATGAAGGCCAGGCCTTTCATCTTGCCTACAACAGAAATGAGTATCTTACTCTTCTTTTTACCTGGTAAATTAATGAATGAAAGGTACACTTGTAAAATGTTGATAACCGTAAGTCCAATTTCCCTTGATTCCTAGTTCATATTCACTGAATTAATTTAGAAAATAACACACACTGTACTTTCAATCTTAGCTTGTACTAAAATTGTAATACTGTATACAGGGAAATTTTTGCCCCCATTTAATTTTCACCCCTTTCGTCCTCATCGCAAGTGTGTGAATTTAAAATGGGGCGAATTCAAAGAAAACTGCATCATCTCTTAAACAGAACTTCAAAATGGGGCCAAATTGTTGCAGGGTTGAAAGGGCGAAAATAACCCTGTATACAGTACTAATAGGAAAAGTTGCTTTGAATCATTTTAGCAAAATAATCTTTCATTATATATGAGTTTGTTTAAATCTGATTAATTTATCTAATCAATTTGAAAATGTACGTTTCCTAGGTGACGTAAACATATACATGTACCATCATTAGGTTTCTTCACAAATTCCACTCCCAAGGACTCAAATCGTTCACAAGCCTTGTCAACATCAGGAACAACAATGCCAAGGTGACCTGAAATAAAACAAAGTTTGTTATTATAACAAATTCAAAAACAAGATGTGTTTGTGAAACACTGATCCCCCCACATGGGCAGCTCATGGCCAAAGTTAAAGTTTTTCAAAAGTAAGTAAACCTCAAAGGTCAAGGGTCATGAGGTCAAAAAAGTTGAAACTCAAAGAAAGGTCTTGTCCCAAGAAATACACGAGCAAAATGAAAAGCGCTAGCACCCACTGTTCAAAAGATATGGCCAAGGTTAAAGTTTTTCAAAAGTAAGTGAACCTGAAAGGTCAATGTCATGAGATCAAAACTGTTGGGACTTGTTACAAGAAATACGCAGGTGAAATATGAAGCCCCTATATCACCAAACGTTCAAAAGTTATAGGCTAGGTTAAAGATGTGGCAAACAGACACACACACAAACAGATGGACAGACCAAAAAACTATATGCCCCCAAATCTTCAATTATGGGGACATAAATATCAAAGGCTTTTCATTGCAACCTGATCCAACAGAGATACATAATTCATAAACATACAAAAATATTTCATGTCTGACACAATTTCTTACATAAATATTTTATATGTGACAGAAAACTATTATAAATGAACATAGTTCATGTGCATTTTCCATACCACCGGTACATTCATGTAACATATGAAACAGTTGATAATAAATCCACTGGATGTCAATATCAGGAATCGGAGTCATCAAATACAATTTTAGAAAATACAACATTAAAATTATTTTATCTCATATCAGTATAGTAAAAGAAAAATTGATTATCCCCCCCTCCCCTTATATGAGGTCAACATTGAGAAATAAAGTCATAAAGTCTATCGACTTGATCAATTAGGTGACCTGATCTTAGCTGTTGGCCTAATTAAGCGAGTCCAAGTCAGCTTATGGGTCAGGTCTCGAGTTTTCATTTCACCATTATGACCTTATAAGGTATGGAGGGTAATCGTGTTCAAAAATCCAGACATGTAAGTTTGTAAATCCAAACTTGTAAGTTTGTAAATCCAAACTTGTTAAGTTTGTAAATCCAAACTTGTAATCCTATCAGTTTCATAGTCTACATATGTAAGTAGGTAATTCCGACATCCTAGCATGTAGTTCCGAACATACAACTGTATTGACTTTGAGTTTATACTATGAATGTGTGTATTTTTGATGTTGTAAACTAATTGTTTTCCGGAATTTATATTTCCGCGCTCTGAATAAAACACAAAGACAATTGACAAGTCTACAAAGGTAAAGTCTACACGTTTGTCAAATTTTGATATTGAGAAACTATGGAGGGGCATCAGTGCCACAATTATTGTTAAATGTTCTCATTTTCTTTTTTTATTCTAACTTTTTGTTTTCAAAAGTAAATTCTTCATTTTTTTATTTCTTATTTTAATTCTTGCCTCTTGAAGGCACGGATCTAGAAGGGGGTCTGGACCCCCCTCCCCCCGAAATTTGCAGACTTATTAAATGTTTACACTAAACGAACTAAAAGTGACCTTGGACCCTCCTCGAAAACGCTGATCTGTGTTAAGTTGATGATTACCCCCCCCTCCCAACACACACATACATACGCGCACGCGCGAAATAGGTTTTTCATGCTTGGGAAAGGAGTTTACTTTTTTAGCTCACCTCAACGAAGTTGGGGGAGCTTATGTAATACCGTCGGTGTCGGCGTCCCAGGTTAAGTTTTTTGGAGCAGTTTTCTTTTCAAGTACTTCTATGGCCTATATTAGTCAGAGCTGCATGGAGGATGCTTCTAGTTTGTTTCATTGTACCAGTCAAGGTTTTAGATGCTGCAATTTCAGCTAAAGAATGACCAGGTTAAAGTTTTTGGAGCAGGTTAAAGTTTTTGGAGCAGGTCTCATTTCCAAGTAACTATAAGTCCTATATTGACCAAACTTGCATGGATGATACATCTAAGGATTCACACTACTGGACTTGTTTCAGATGCTGGATCTGACCTACATTTTCCAGATGAGTAACCAGGTTAAAGTTTTTGGAGTAGATCTCATTTCCAAGTAACTATAAGGCCTATCTGAATCAAACTTGCATGGATGATGCATCAAGGGACGAACAATCTCAAACTTGCCTTGGATGCTGGATTTGGCTTACATTTTCTGGATGAGTGACTAGTTTTAAGTTTTCAGATAAGTCTATTCCCAAGTAACTGCAAGCCCTATCACACCAAAATTGCATAAATGTTGCATCTAGGGATGCACACTCCTAGGTTATTAGTTTAGTGTGGGACTTTGCCTAACTTAAAGACAACATTCGTTGAGGTGAGCTCTGTAATCTCTGATTACCAATGTTTTTGTTTTTTTGCTTGTCATGAAATTTCTAGGTTGGATTTTTTTTTTTGGACTGGGATATATTTTCCAGTTTTATTTTATTTATTTTATTATGGCAATTTTGACTCCTTTTGTATTTTGATTCTATCTTAAAATTTCATTTTCAATTATTTTTCACTCTACCTAACTTAATACTTTTTTGGTAACAACTATAAGCAAAATCGAAAGTTTGTTTAAGAAAGTACAACTTACAGAGTTAAACTAAGAAATCCGAATAAAATTTAAACGAAAAGGGGCGCTATGGCCTTTTATGTACAAGTACACAGAGAACTTGGTGAACAATCTAGCTACGAAACGTAGAAACATTTCCCTGGAACATATTTTTTTTCGTTTTAAAAACCATATGATATCATTTGTTATCTCTCGTTTTCAGGCCCGTAGGAAGCATTTTCATTGGGTGGGGTGGGGGTGGAGCAGTGGGCACAAAACAAAAATTTCTTGATAAGCTCCCCCCCCCCCCCAAAAAAAACAAATAAGGCATTCCTGTTGAGGGGGCACAACGATAAATTAGCCTTATTTCTTTTCATATGTATTTACCGACAAAATTACTGAGGGGGCACAATCAGAAATTGCTTTTTTTTTATTGGTATAGTATATACTGGCACCCTCACCCCACTCACTGCCTACGGACCTGGTTCGGAGCCATAAAACTTAGATGAGCTCACATTGATCTCAGTCTCTCTTTTCTACATACTATTAATTCCTTTGGTAAACATGAGACTGTGATCAAAAGTAAGTCTGTCTAAGTTTTATGGCCCTGGTGCAAGATGTTTCAAATATGATAAATTTGACCGCAATTTTTGATTGCCCGCTTATGGTACACAAATATCAGGTATCTTTAAATTGATATTGTTATCACATTATTTTTTTAAATAGGACAGAGAATTTTTTTTCACCAACAAATCTCAGGGCCGAAGTATAGGAGGGAGCAAAAGTTTGAGCTCCCAACTTTTTTGTGTGGAGAATAATCTTTTGCTGTTTTAATATGAAAATTCATTTATAGGCTGCACCCTCCCCACTTCTTTTTTTGCAGTAATCATCAAACTGTGGCAAATTCTTGCGTTGAAAAAAAATACTGAAAAGTTAAAGAAAGATATCCTAAACATAGCCTCCCATGAAGGAGGAGTTTTGGCATTTTATTTATTTATTTTTTTCATCGTCAATTTTTTTGGAGACCCCCCCCTTTTCGATAAACATTGATACGGATCTTCATCTACTGAGTGGTTGTTCTTTTTTTTTTTTAATATGATAATATTGCAGTTACATTAGTTCTTAATAAACTGGGGCACTGATCACAGTAGCCTAGTGGTTGAGCGCTAGCTTCATAGGCCATGGGAGGGTAAGAGTTCGCTAGTCCTAAGTTCCCTATGCCGGCCGGCAAAACGTAAGACGTTTAACATACGTGTTGGTAATGACTATTCCTTCGGCATTGAAAGTCAAATTGAATAATTTTTCGGTTGAGACCTTAAAGACCGAAGCCCCTCTAGATCCCCGTAATCTGTGAATAAGCGGGTAATGATTCATGTCACATCGTCAAATAAAATAAAGAAGATAAAATAAAATTGGAACATATAAACAAAAAGTTAGAATTAAAATCAAATAAGAAATTCAAATGAAAATATTAATATCAAATTGGAAGTTAGAATAAAAAAAGAAAGAAAATCTAAATAATTTATTTCAATTGGAAAAAGAAGTTAGAATAAGAAAGGGAAAAAATGTTGCACTAATGCCCCTCCATAGTTTCTCATAATCAAAATTCGACAATCGTGTAGTCTTTACATTTGTAGACTTGTCAATTGTCTTTGTGTTTTATTCAGAGCGCGGAATAAATTCTGGAAAATAAAGTTTACAACATCAAAAATACACACATTCATAGTATAAACTCAAAGTCAACACAGTTGTATGTTCGGAACTACATGCTAGGATGTCGGAATTACCTACTTACATATGTAGACTATGAAACTGATAGGATTACAAGTTTGGATTTACAAACTTACAAGTCTGGATTTTTGAACACAATTACACTCCATAATGGGGTAATGGGGGGGGATTTATAATTTTATATTCTATATTGCAGCCTATTTATTCAGAAATACCAACACACACACTTACCAAATCCTCTGGGGTCACTGTTACCATTGTGATAGGACTGTTCTGGGTCATTTTCTGTCCCCCAGTTACTACAAAGTTGATTACATTTAGATGAAAAAGGATTACCTGTACATCTTATGTACAGGGATACATGTACATGTACTTTGACAGCATTGTAACAGAATTAAGTTGCAAATAGTGAATTTGCTAGATACTAGTCTATTCTATCAATCAATACTTTTCTGAGGCCAGAGGCAAGTGCACTATGTGTCAAGCCCTGACTACTATAATTTGGGCATAGTACATGCTAAAAAACTTTACAGTATTGTTATAATGATGCTGATAAAGTTACAAGAAACATAACAATAGAATATAATACCCAATGCAAATTACAGTCAAACCTTGTTATCTCGAACTCAACAAGGCCGAGAAAAAACTTCGAGATATCTGAGGATTTAAAAAATCCAGGGTAAAATACTTAAAGAATAAGGGGTTGGGACATCCAAATCACTTCGACATATCCATGGTATTCGAGATATCAGTGATTGAGATACCTAAGTTCAACAGTTTATCTCTTATTGAACCAATATAGTTACAGTTCATCATTAAGACTAACAAGTCACTCTATATAGTGGTCCTTATGTATTGTTTATAAGACAACCTTACTGTGTAAGTTCCAGTGTGGCTTTTTGTTGGAAGCAATAGCGAGTTTTCTCTGTCTCATCCTTGGGAATATTCTCAGGTTTATCATACCCAACAAAATACAAAGAAAAAGACATGGAAGGGAAATCAAATTTCTTCAGTAACCTGTGAATAAAAGGAATATTGCATTCTTTAAGATGAATTTCCATTTTCTTGTTTTGCAGATTGGCTTAAAGACATACTGAAAATATACCAGGTACATGTATATGCTATGCATGTACATGTACCTATATATTTCGGTGATCAAACTTTAGCACATTTTCCATTCTAACTAGGCCTATAAATAAATGTTTGTTTGTTTCCACTCTCAGGCTGAAAACTAGAAGTGTTGTAATGCCACAAATGCCAGGCAGGCAGCCAAAATTTCAAATTGCAAATTGTAAATTGCACATTTGTAGCCCAGTAATGATAAGAAATTGTGAATTTTTAAATCGTTTCCAAGTTCAAGGGGGATAACTGTCAAAAATCATCACACCAGGACCAAATTCGAACTTGACCTGTATTTTCTAGTAAAATACCCTGCATATGCAATTTCAACTTTATACATATATACCTACAAATTATAATTATACTGAAAATTTCTTATATTTTCTAAGTTCAAGAGGGATAACTCTGTCAAAAATCATCGGACCATGACCAAATTTGAACTTGTTTTATGATGCTTCCATATGTCAAATTTTAGTTGAACGTGTGCAACAGTTGCCAAGATATAAATGAACGGAAAGTCAATGATGACTGAATGACGGAACAGGGTAACACAATATGCCCCCAGCCATTTTATGGTGGGGACATAAAAATTAGAGCAGGTAGGCAATGCATAGTCATTTTTTTTTTAATTTCCTGGACAGTGGATTTCAACTCGGTAACACTGATAACAAAAGAAATTGTGCTTAACAGCATTTCTGTGACTATAATTTATAGTAAAAAAATTTTATAATTCAAGCAAAAGCTGAAAATTCATATCTAGCTTCACTGAAAAAGCACTGAAAAAATTAGGACCAGTGCCACAAATTACAGGAAGTCGGGAAAGCAGAACCAAACATTATATTTTTAGGCCTTAAGTTTCATTGTATTTTCTAACATCAGCATATTTTGAAAGTTGAACTATATATTTTTAGATACAAGTAAGTTAATCATCATAAACATGTTTTAATGTAATGCATGAATTGATAGAGGACAAAGATCATGAAATAGTAGAAAAGAATTGCAATTAAAATTTAGGCACACGTTTATTGTTAATGCCTTTTCTACATTCATGCAATTTAAAAAAAGAAAATTCCAACTTATTCTTAAACTTAAAATTCTTATTCATGTTATAAATGTTTCATCTCTTAAAGTTTCAACTTTTCTAACATGTTTCAGTTATAACTTGGAAATCTAGCTATGCAACTAACTTGTACTAATTTCTATTTTTTTTTCAATTGTTCTCAGCATATATGTTATATCAAAATGGACATCTTTGGTTGAGATGAAAACCCTCTGATCTGCAGTTCAATCAAATTTGTTAATATCAAATTGGCAAAATTTATACAAAAATATTCCATTTTCAATCATTTTTATTCCGACTGAATGAAACCTCAGATTTTTTAACAAGAGGCCCAAGGGCCATAACAGTCAACAGATTTTTTTTATCAATGGTAAATAATCAAAAGGGAATAACTTCTCACAAATTAGAGTAAAAAATTCCCTACATAAATAATGAAGCCCTGCCCTAGCACCAGAAGAACCCGTAAGCCATTTGTTATGAATTTCACATATCAGATAAAAACACCCTTGCTCATTACAACTATGTACTTGGTTTGCCTTCTAAATGCCTAAGGAACAGAGAAGAAGATTTTCAAAATCACTGCTCATCAAATTTTTCAAGATTTTCAAAGAATGAATCCACTTTCTCTATATGATCAATTGAGCCTGCACTAACACCCTCTGACCCTGGGGCCCTGACTTTCTTAAATTTGGAAGAGGCACCTTTGTTCATTATAACCATACATTTAGTTTATCTCCTTAATACCCAGGTACAGAGAAAAATATTTTCAAAGAATGAATGCATTTTTATTATGTGATCAATGGAGCCCCATCCTAACACCAGAACCCCTAACCCTGGGGCCATGAATTTCACTATTTTGGAAGAGGCGCTCTTACTCATCATAACCATTCACTTAGTTTGTCTGCAAAATCTACAAGGAGAGAGGAAATTCTTAGAGCATTTATGTTTGTTTGTTTGTATGTTGTTTAACGTCCCTCTCGAGAATTTTTCACTCATATGGAGACGCCACCACTTGCCGGTGGAGAGCTGCAAATTTTGTCCTATACTCGGCACTTACGGCCATTGAGCAGTGAGGGATCTTTTTCATGCCAGCACCTACTGTGACACGGGACCTCGGTCTCATCCAAAGAACTGGTCTCCACATCCCACAGTGGGATTCGAACCCGTGACATAAGGATCAACTCCTTACGCCGCGACTCTAGAGCAGACGCTCTAACCACTGCGCCACTCGGGCTAGAGCATTTATGCATTTTCACTATATGACTAATAGAGCCCCATTCTAATACCAGAACCCCTAACCCTGAATGAATTTCATTATTTGATAAAGCTTATTATGATAACACCAACAGCTTGACTGCTTGATGTCCAAGAGTAATGAAGAAGATTTTTGAAGATTTCATTACTTAATTTTGATCATGTTGGCACCACCCCTCAGGCCCAAGGGAGGGGGGCTGAAATTCACTTTTTATGTTCCCCTTTGCCCATAGATTCTACATAGTAAAATTTGTTGAAATTGGTTCAAGAGCTTGAGAGAAGAACCTGAATATGTTAAAGTTTATGACCAATGCACACTAATGGATGAAAACAGATAGTGACTCAGGTGACCTAAAAATAATATCTAAATAGTCAGTTTGGTAGATATGACTGCATGAATTTACAATAAAAATGTTCTGGACTGTATTACCTCATTCCCATAACCTTTGTGTAAAACTCTAGTGATCTCTTTGGATCTTTCACCCGGATCATGGTTTGTTGGAAAAAGAAGTCCTTATAAAATGAAAATATGTAAGAATCAATACATATATAAAATTATACCAGTGTATTACATCTATAATCAAATCCAATTAGTTTATAGTTCCTTGTTTACAGTGACACATAATCTTAGATTCTGTAGATTCTTTCAGCATGTGTGATCTACACAATGACTTTTCTATCAATGGTAATTTACACAAAATCCTACAATACACCTTGACGCTGAGCATTTTCCCTGAACTCTGAAACATTTAATAATAAATTCCATGGGATGTGTTATAATAACTTTAGTTTTTGTGCAGTATGCTTTGGATTTTTGTGCCAGTGTTCAGAAATGAGTTTTTATATAGATAAAATGACTGAAATAAGCTGATTTTCTATTTATTAAATTTTAAGGAGATATGCTGGAGGATCTGGATTATTCTCCCTAGCCTAAAAATTCCATTAAAACATAAGAAGACATTCATTGCTATAAAAATATTGATACCTGAGCATGCAAAAGTTATAATTACTAAAGTTATTACTTTAAAGGTATTAAATAAAAGAAATCAAAGGCAAGCAAGTATTCACTAATATTCAAGAACTTAAATAAATTGTTTTGAGAATATTTTTCTTCTGTCAAGCATCTGACTTGACCAAATGTAGAGGATGTGTAAGAAAATGACTTTAATTGTCAACAGGAAGGACAAGTGACAAATAAAAAAGATGTATTGGGAATAGAATGAATATTCATTGTTTTTAAAAGTTTACAATGATATGCAGGTTTTAAAGTGTTAATAATCAATAATCATGAACATCATAATATTCTTATCATATTGGGACAGATTGTTTAATCATATGGCAATTTTATTATCATTTTTTTTCCTAAAACAAGAGGGTTTTTAGCCACCAGCGATCAAACCTGCCTGACAGCCACACTTATATAAGTCTCTGTGTACATTAACAGTGGTATAGGTCCCTCTGCTGACAGAGGAAATCAAAGTGTATGGCTTTACCCAAAACCTAAAAATTAACCAAAACTTACACTACTAGTAAGACTAAAGGACTGTACTCAGTAGACTCTGCATCAATGACTTAATGAGATTTGCTGCTGACAATGCTGTATACATGCAAAAGCCAGCAAGAATTTTAAACCCTTGTCACACCAGGGCTGTGTCCTTATGGGAATACCATGGCATCCATGAAAAAAACAGAACACCAAGGTGCACACAGTAGAGTCTCCTACAGCACAGCAAGAACTCAGTGGGATCTCCAAGTAATGCCTAGAATGCCATGCTACATTGTGCATTTTCAGCATGCACAAATTATGCATTGTGGCTCTGTGTTCTGATGTACATGCAGTAGGAATGCCGTAGGGTCACCATAAAAGTGTGGTAAGGTCTCAAACTGTGCCGAAAGGGCTCCACTGGTGCAGCCAAGAGATGCATATGATTGCAGTATGGAACAGTGGTAGACTCACAGAGGTATAGTTGAAGGCACTTGCACAGAGACCTCTCAGAGTCTTTTGAGATGTCACTGTGTTGAAAGAACATCTTATGCACGCAGTCATGGCATTGTGTATGCCATGAATGTGAAGTGACAACACCTAGTCTAGTAATTTTGCATCAATAATCACACTCAGTTTCATTTTCTATGGGATAAGGATCAAAGCCCTAAAATGTCTTACAAATATGTATTAATTTACAAACTTACCTTCGTGCATTTTTAGATAAAAGGTTTTTGAGAAGACTCTTTATGCATTTTTCTCCAGTCTCCACTCTCATTAAGTTTTCAAATTTACACCCCTAATTTTGCCGTGCCTTGTGCACAACAAACAATAAGTCCGACCTGTGTTAAGGATGCCCCTAATTTATTTCCATTTTGGAAGACAGGCAAAAGTAGGTAGAAGCAGCTACTTATATAGGTATAAATAGCTACTAGGTAGCTACTTATAGTTACGTAGAAACGTAGTTAGGTAGAAATAGTCCTTGGACTGGACCTGAGTAAGACTTATGTGTAGTAAAAATGAATGGATCACTCATCACAGATGACATGATTACAATACCTTTGTTGCTTCATCTGGTTCTTGACAAGCCTTTGCCACTTCTTCGTCTGACAATCCTGTCAAGGCCATTATGTTCTGAAAAATAACATATATACACTCAACATGCAACCCCTAAGCTAATTTTCTCTTAAACTTGTTACGTATTTCAGAAGCTTTAAATTTTTGTGACATGGTCAAATAATGATCACACAGAGTTTCTTATGGTCTTTTCTCTTCTTAATTTTAACCGAAGCATATTAAAGTAATTACTTTTACTGAAATCCAGATAAACCTGTTCCAATTTTTCCTTTAGATGGACTGTGAACGAAATGTCTAATAAAGAGTCAATGTCAGACAAACGCTTGATATTTTTGAGTGTAAGCCTAGTCCTCTGAAGGACCGAAATCGCAAACATTTCAAATGATTAAAAAAGACTACCAGAATGTTTAAAGGTGGTTAAGAAATCTGAATAAAAACTTGTCACATGTAAACTATTAACTCATAATGGAGGCTATTAGCTTATAAAGCTATTTCATACTATAAACTTTTAGTTGGATATATATAGATTTCACTCTTTAAAATCAAAGGCCTGGAAATACCGAGTGTCATTTGTTATAAGCATAATTACAAGTCTCAATAAAATCTTTGGTGGAAATAAATTAACCCATATTTTTGTGTCGCCCGAAAAGCAAAACAACACTTAGGTACACTTATATTAATCCGGCTCCTGATTTTTCCTGACTGTCCGTCTGATTGATTATATATGTTGTTTTACGTCCCTATCGAGAATTTTTCACTCATACAGGGACTTCACCATATACTGGTGAAGGGCTTCAAATTTAAGCTATATTCGGCATTCAAGGCCATTGAGCAGTGAGGGTTCTTTAACGTGCCAACGCCTGCCATGACACGGGGCCTTGGTTTTTGAGGTCTCATCCGAAAGATCCGAAACTTTCACTTCAAAGTGCCGAGCGCTTGGAGAAGGAACAGTTGCTTTCTATTTTTTCTTATCGACTTAGGTCAGTGACGGCCGAGGTTTGAACCCACGGCCTTCCGAGATTATGGAGTTTATCTTTCGAACTATGGTAGGTATTGGTTTAATATTATGCATACGAATTGGTTGGCAAAATGGCTTTGAATTTGACTTACTGACTTCGTAACCTTGAACTTGAAATTTTAACTCCTTTCAAAAATAGCTCATAATATCTCTGTGCATTGTATTCGATGAACACTGAAGTATTAAGCAGCGTGCGGCTTATCATATAGTTGTAAAATACTAAGATTTAAAATCCACTTGACCTTAACCTTTGACTTATTATCAAAAACACTCCGAGTCGTTAATTCTCCTTAAGTTTTTTGAATTTAAGAGGAATTTAATTGATTATTAGAAATTATCTTTCATGTTTATGATTATAATGAATATTCAAATTTCAAACTTTTACCACAAAATCTAAAAAATTTTAAATGCATTTGCCGTGGTCTATAAAAATGAATCGGGATCGCCATCTACTACATTGTTGTTCATGATTCAAGTAAAATTGTCGGCTGATATTTGCAGTAAAGACAAAATCAATCAGAGGTCAGATTGGAATCCTTTTTAAGTTATGAATCTGGGGGATTGTAGAATTAAACACGTATGAATACATAATTAATTTTTTATTTTATTTTTTTAAATAATGCGTTTTCAACTTTTCTGTAACGAATGTCTAGCATTATATGAATAGACAGTGCTGTTTACTAATACTTTACATTTGGCATGTGCAACCGTGTATAACTAATACATGTAGTCTTTTTTTTATACTGACTTGTACTACTGTCCATGGATTTTTTTCGGGGGGGGGGGCACATGTTTAAACTTTAATAATATTATTTATATGAATAAAAAGTTTACCACGTAAAAAGTTTCCTGGTTTTATCTATATCCTCAATTATGCTCTCGCAGGCGACACAAGCGTTCCTTGAAACATTTTAGTTAAAGGACCACATGGCTCGAATCTTTATTCTTTAATTTAGCTATCCTATTGCTTTGTACATTCTGTATTAGCACTAGAAATTATATAATCTATATTGGAGCTATTTATGTTGAAGTAAAAAAATATTCTGTGATATTTGAAAGGTAATATTCTAGATATGTAATTTTTCTCATTCCCAAAACAACATTTTTTACTATCCCTCTTGGTACATGCAGATATCTATGACATTTGCGTATACCTGTGATTGATTTAATGACATTTCTATCAATTAAATATTATACGTAAATATAAATAAAAACAAAGTAATTTTTACGATCTTCTTTAACTTTATACACCGGATATAATTATTTCACTGTATTGACTGCTCACATGGTTGGTTTTAAATGTATTTTCACCGATATATTTCCATCATATATAGAAATATGAATTTCAAATTTGGTTAAACATGTTTAAAGGGACCATGGACACAGTTGCATCTTTTTTTACATTTTAAATTTCTATGCTTATATTCAAAGAATAAAACCAATTAAATGAATTGAACTTTCATGATTATTCTTAGAATTCAATGACAACGACATTCTTCTTTACATCACGTCAAACGTAATTGTTTTTGTAATAAGGGCACGTGCTCTGTTATTGTTAATGTTTACGTTTCACCGGGTGTGTTCTAATTGTTAAACTCTGCACATATCACTGAGCACGTACTGACAATACTGGTGAGTTGATTTTGCTTTCTCACATTTCTACTCTTAATTTTCTGGATTATAGTTTTAATTATATGAAACTGTCAACCAAACGCGTCCCGGAATTCGTAGTTTCTATAATTTCTAGATAAAAGACGTTTCTGAACATGCTTTTATTATATTTCCGTGTGAAATGCTATAACAACATATAAGTCATGATATTATACAGACTATTTGAGACAATATTAACTTTAAAATCTGTATCCAGGCCCCTTTAATAATATTGATAACAGCTTGATTCTTTTATTTCACCACTAATTATACCTCTTTTGTGTTCAATCCCTGATTCACGTTTTTGAATGTTCAATCATTCAACTGATCGATCATTCTAGCACATTTCTTATATGGGCATATTATATGGAATATATGTATATGTAAATGTACTATACGTAGCATATCATATCAACATTGGCCTATAAATCAAACATAGCATTTAAAACGTCTAAATGAAACCAACTGCAGTTTGATATCGTTATCTACACTTCTTTGAAGTTTTATCTAAGAAACAGAAGTCACGAATTCATTACGAATTGGATTTATCCTGATTCTTCCAAAAGAAATAAAAAAGACACTTCACTGACGAGAAAATCCTGAAAATAATGACCAGAATCGTTTTACATCAGCTCGACATCTCAGACAATTTCCAATCCAGTAGTATTTATAAACCATTATCTGCGGTATTATCATGAGACTTGCATATTACTGATAACAACATCTCTCCATATCAACCGACGTGACAAAATTACGCCGTAATTGATTTGTTACAACAGCGACATAAGTGGCGAATTATGTAAATCATCCGGTCAAATGAGCAATGACGGCAGCCCATTCCCTCTTCTCCCTCTACAAGCCATTCAATTCATCGCTTCATGCAATTTGTGTATTATCCCGAATAAGAAGCATTCACAGATTCTAAATCAAAATTCCGGGACCTGATTGCTGTGATATCCCTTATGTATCGACATTTTGCGTGCCACGGAAAAATGACAATTCTAGATTTCGGAAGCTAGTAGTATTTTATATTAGGAGCCATCCGTTCTGTTTTATTTCTGCAGGGAATTGACAATGAAAGTCATTTGCCGATAAACGCGATTTTATTATGTGATTTATAGGGTTGTAAACAATATGGTTACATTTTGATCTGAAGTGTAGCTGATATGATGAAAATAATAGTGTCAAATAGATCAATTTTATATGAATTTCCTTTACGACATTTACGACCAAACTATTACTGCCAATAAAAAGATTTTAGCAAAAAAGATATGATCAGTCTGAAGTTCGAAAAAAAATGACCATTTAGATACTCCGAACAATGTGGCCAACTATGTATTATTTTGACACTGACAGAAATAATAAATGGGTTAATGACTATCAAAAGCTGTAGTTTATTTCACGTCAACATAGGCGACTTAAAGCCATTGAAAAAAAAATTGCAATTCAAGATTCATCAACTAAATTCTCAAAATAAAAATAAAAAAAAACGTTCTTTTTAAAAATTATTTACCTGATGTTAAGGGCACTCACTCTCTACCATCGGCTCAAACATTCACCTCTATCATCCCTATGATTAGCCCGAAAAAAGTGCATTTGTTTTAATTTGTTATACAATGTAATTAGATATTTGTTATGATTTTCGTCTTTTGATAGATATTTACTCAGTTTATCTGGAACTATTATTATAACTTGAAGGATCCACAGAATATATTTTTTTTCCTTTCGTGAAAAAGAAGATGGACGCGAAATGCTTATTGTGCGACAAATAGAAAAGTAAATAAATAAATTAATCTCAATTATGACAAATTTTCTTCGATATTTAATTTAACATTAACATATACTTTATGTAAAATCTCCACAAATTGCAACAATTTCACAAAGATTGAAAATTTTCATCCATGAAATAGCATACAGACACCAAAGAGGGAAAAATGATCAATTTTTCGTAATAAAACCCAACTTTTCCCTAGGAGTGGGTCTTCGCTCCATTTTTATTTGAAAAGATTATACTCAAAGTATGTGAAAAAATATACCTTCTTTGGTTATCAAAAATATGGAGCAAAGACCCACTACCTTTAAAATACTCTTTTATGGCACACATTAATTTCGTATCTTTCAGAGAAATATTTGAAGTCCAGCAGTTAACTGAAGCAGTTATATATTGGAAATTTTTAAAGTCTAATTGTCATTACTTTCAAAAAAGTCGCCTGCGTGACGCAGTGGTTAGAGCGTCTGTTCTAGAGTCGCGGAATAAGGAGTCGATTCTTACGTCACGGGTTCGAATCCACTGCGGGACGTGGAGATCGGTCCTTTGGATGAGACCTTATAAACCGAGGTCTCGTGTCGCAGTAGGTGTTGGCACGAAAAAGATCCCTCATCCCTCACTGCTCAATGGCCCTCACTGCCGAGTATAGGTATAAATTTGCAGCCGTCCACCGGCAAGTATAGGCGTCTCCATATGAGTGAAAAATTCTCGAGAAGGACATTAAACAACAAACTTTCATAAAAATGGGTCAATCATCTCGAAACTCGAACTTGATTGAATTGAACTGAATAAATTAATCTCTTTTCAATTTTGCAATTGTATACAGTGATTTACATAAACAATGGTGACAAATTTTAGAGCAT